TGAGAAGGCAGAGAATGTGACTAAAGGAGTGTATCTGTTCTCCTCAGCAGCCTGTGCCAGGGGCCACATGTTTTGTCTAAGAGGAACTTGAGTTCAGAAGCAGGATTCATACATACCTGGCAGGGGAGGTACCATGATCACGAAGGTGGTTGTCCCAGGGCGAGGCTTACCATTGCACTGCAGATGAGTTGACCTCTGTGATTTCCTCAAATGTGGGAAAACTCAACCGCATAATTTATGGTAGTGGGGGACTGCATCCGTGCTTTCCCCTGCTAAAAAAAAAAAGCAGGATTTGCTTTGCTCTCCTGCTCCACACCATAGAACTTTGAGACAGTTTCATCCCCAAAGGTTTAGTCTCCTCATCTGTGCAGTGAGACTGATCTTTAGCATTGTTGTTATGCTGATTAAGTGAGATAGTATGCTTGGTGTACAGTACCCAGGGCTCAAGTACATGGCAAACTCAGTGTATGGAACCACAGAGAGCCCTGGATTAGAGGGAATGAGGGAGGCGTCATGTGCATGATGGTTGTGCAGGATGTTATCCCAGGAGTGCAGTTCTGGGAGAAGGAACTGAGCACAGAGGTAACCATGGGAACAAATAGCCAAAGTATAAAGACCTTTGAGTGAAGGGAAGAGAGCTCAACTGTTTCTGTAGTCTTAGGAGTCGGAGTGTTGGAGCTCAGAAGCCAACCACAAAGGAAGTTCATTAAGCTGTCTTGGATTCTAGGGTGGCTGGCCTCTCGTCCCCTGCCCCAAACTTTTGTTTTGAATGTGGTCTGTGCCCCATGTTTCTTAGTAGCCTGTCTTCACCCACAGAGAAGCTCCAGGGTGGCTGGAGCAGCTTGTGGTGTCCAGCACATAATCTCTGCATGGGTGCCAGGAGGTGCTGCCCTGATGCTGAGGCTCCATTTCACCCGAGCCGTGCCAGCCGCAGGCAGGGTGGGATGGGTGACTTTTCACGGGTTGCCGCCCTATCCACAGCACAGCCCACACCCTAAGCCAAGAAACACATCAACTTCCTGGAACTCAGAGCCGTCATCCCAGCTGTCTCAGCCTTCAGCACATGCAAGGCCATCCTAGTCAGAAAAGGCAGTTTTGCCCCGGGCTTTGCAGGCTGGAGGAAAGCAGGCTTGGCTGGTACAGCACAGCTGGTCTGGTTGGGTTTTGTCCCCCTGCCTGGCCTATCCTTTAAGATAGCTGCTGCTTCCTGGGCTCCTGCATGGCTCAGACCCTCGTAGCACCAGAGCCCCTTGCTCTCTGTGGGCCTGCACCAGCGAGCCATGCTTGTTTGCAGTTGACATGGAGACACAGCACTGCACCACCCCAGTCAGGTGTTGTAGAGCCCAGGCCTCGGCATCTATCCTGGGCATCTCAACTTACCCCTTATTTCTTGGGGGCCTAAACAGAGATTTTAGATCTTACTTCAAAAACCCTGGGTTTTTTAAGAAACACAGATGCTGCCCTTTGCTCCTAAAGCATCTTCCCCTTTATCTTTCATCTTTTCATGACTATCTCACTGGACCTGGAGACAGGCTCCTTAATCTCTTTCTGGCTTTGCAAAGCATTGTGCATTATCTCCTGGGGGCTGGGGGCTGGGGCCTGGCTGCCCTTCCTCTGCCCCACCTCCTCCCAAGGGGACCTCTACCCTCCCCAAGGAGACACTCTGCCATACAGCTGGGTTTTGTACAAAGCCTGTGGAAGTGAAAATCCAGAAATTTAGCCTCCTATCCCCTCCCCCACCTCTCTCAGCCTGTCTTTGTCCTGTTTGACCTATGGGAGCATAAACAGTCGTCTTCTTCCTTTTTTTTTTTTTTTTTTTTTTAATTTTGTCCTGAGGCAGTGGTAATGGAGGTAAGGGGTATCTTGAAGTTTCTTCTAAAAACTGTGCAGTACTTTTCCACTGTCCAAGTTCTGTGAGTCTCTTCGGTCTTCATGGAACCTAAAAATGGATAGGGTAGTCACTCTTGTTGCTGAGCTTAATTGGAAGACATTTCAATATTCAAATCATTTATACCCAAGGTCAGAGGATGAAGTTTCAAAGTCAAGTATCACAGCTTGGCCTTTTTGCTTTAGCACAGAACCTTTTCCCCTTGGTTCTCAGTTTTTAGGGGAAAGCTACTGGTGAACTTTTTTTTTTCTTTTTTAAGTACTGTGTCTTAAATGAGAGGAGGAAATATGTCTAAATTGTAATGAGTTCTAGTCATGTTCCGGAAAACTTCAGTTCCAGACATTTGTCTCTAACTCCAAATTGAGTTTTGCTTTATTGTTTGCTTTTAAAGTTATAGGTAGAAATACAGTTTATTTTACCTTTTGAGATCCTAATACAGTAATTTCTAGGGAAAAAGTATAGGATACATCTTTCTGGACCCTTTTTTATTTTTTTGAAACAGGATCTCAGTATGTAATCAGGCTAGCCTTGAGCTTACTATGTAATCCAGTCCAGCCTCGGATTTGTGACCCTCCTGCCTCAGCCAGGTGAGTGTTGGGCTTGCAGGTTTGCGCCACCATAGCTTTGCCAAGGCCTTCTTAGCAATAAAATTTACCATAATATACCATATGAGTGATGTTTCTTTGCAGTGCTATGAATTGAACCTAGGACCTCATGTATATTAGGGCTTTTATCATTAAGCCACGCCCATACCTTCCTATTAGCTAAAAAAATGAATAAAAAGAGGAGAGTTTTTATTTTAAGTGGTTAGTTTCTCATTAGGTATCTACAAGTTGAAATAAGTGGGGATGGGCCGGGGAGATAGCTCAGTGCCTAAGTGTCTACCTGATAAGCACAAGGTCCTGAGTTTGATCCCTGGTACCAAAAAAAAAGAAATAAGTGGGGATGATCTGGGAGGATGGTTTAAATTTGTGCATTGCTGAAAACTGCATGAGAATTTTAACAAAATTGACTTGATTAATAGTTTTTTTAAATTTTTTTTTAATTTTTTTTTTTGTGTATGTATGTGTGTGTGTGTGGCCAGCTCAGCCCACCAGGGGGCGGGGCGGGCTGGCATGTGGTGCTGGGGATTGAACCGCGGTCCCTGTGCTTTGCTAAGCTTGTTCTAAGTAGGTGCTTTAGACCACTGAGCCATCTCACCAGCCCTTGATTAATAGTTTAAAAGAAAATGGACCTTATATCAAGTAGAACAAGGTCTCTTATCCTGCTTTCTGTGGATGGGTTTCGGGGGTCCCTGGCTTCCCTCGTATTGAGGAGAATTTTGCCTGTGGAGGATGTGCATTTTGTGAGGGTGCAGGAATTTCATCGGCTTCTCAGACAGCATGGGCCCCACTAGGGAGGTATTGGGGCACCACCAGGCTTTCAGGTCTTCAAGCCGTGTGCAATTGTTCTGTGAATTGCTGTCTTTGTCTGTTGTGCTTCTTGCCCCCTTTTTTTTTTTTCCATCCTAGAGATAGAGCCCAGGGCAGGCCCTTTGCACAGAGCTCTATGTTCAGCCCATTTTTAATTTTGAGACAGGCTCTTTCTTCCTAAGTCGTTAAGTTGTCCCAGCAGAGCTCAAACTTTTGATTTTCCTGCTTCAGCCTTCCAGGGTGCTGAGGTTGCCAGGAGTATGCCACCACACCCAGATAGTTTAAAATCAAAAGAATTTTTCAAAAGAGACTAGCACAAGTTAGAAGTGGGGAGCTGAAGCAATGCAGTGTCAAGAGAGACAAACTTCTGGGCACATCTTGGCATCAGAGGCAGAGGAGCTGCTTCTGATAGACAAGGCCGTGGCACCTTTCCACCCTACCAGGCCAGTGTGGCCACATGGTTGCTGCTCAGGCCACACAAGCTGCAGAAGAGGTGGGGTGAGAGTTGTGACACCCTTGGGCTGCTCATCTCTAAAAATGGATAAAAGTGACAAAACATGACAAGCGGTTGTTTCCCAGCAAGTGTTGTCCACATGGGCTTTTTCCTACTTCTTTCTTCCCTTTCTCTCTTAGCCCTGGGGATGGAGCCCCAGGCTCACTCCTGCTGGGCAGATGCTCTCCTGCTGAGCCTGCTTCCAGTGCCTTCTCTGCTCCTTGCAGTTCTATGGTCGGCTTAACTTTGGATGCAGGGTAGCATCCAGAGGCAGAAGCAGATGAACACTCCAGTGCTGTAGCTTTGGCAGCGCTGCCTTTATCTTGGAAGCTAGCTCAGGGCTCTGAGGGCCCTTGGCAACCCAGAGGCAACTTTCTCCAGCTCAAGAAGGGCATGAGTAGTGAGAGACGCTTTCCTCATCCCCCTCCAGAAGAGGTGTACATTCAGTTCAGTTTGACATGTTATAGATGCTTACCCCTCAGGAAAACTGATAATCTGTATTTTAAGGCACTGTCAGTTACTTATATATGTTCTTTAGCTCTTATCCTCACACTTCCAGTTTGTTCGTTCATTCATTCTCCTCTTCTCTCTTCTCTCCTCTCCTCCTCTCCTCCTTTCCTCCTTTCCTTCTTTCCTTTTCTCACCTTCTCTCTCCCTCTTTCCCTGTCTCCCTCTCTCCCTCTCCCTCTCCCTCACCCTCTACCTGTCTTTCTTGGTCTCTCTCTATAGCCCAGGCTGGCCTAGAACTTCTGATCTGCCTGCCTCAGCCTCCTGAATGCTGCAGTTAGAGGTGTGCAGAACCATGCCCAGCTTTATGGTTTGATGTGCTGAGTGCCATCTTCTCTCTTCTCTGTAAACTGCAGAACCATGTTATCCACTATCAGTGTGCTATGCTGTTTGGCTGGTCGGAGCTCCACCTGTGACCAGCTCCCACAGCCCTTCCCCTCTATTGTGCCTTCAGTGTGGCTGGAATGTGCTTGGGGTGGGGACAGTTCCTGTTTGCTCTGGACATTCAGCTCCTGACTTCTGCTTGGGTGCTGATGGCTCCACTCTGGGTGGCCTCCAATGACAGCTTGATGTTACCACAGCCAGAGCATGGCTGTGGTCCTTGCCTGTGGCCCGGATGGTGTTATTAGAGGACATTATGCAGAGGCAGGACAATTTTTGGTCTCTGCCCCTCTAACATCACCTTTTCTCATTTTCACAGGTTACTGCGACTGTGTGCTCCAGAAGCAGTGCCTTTGAGGTGTGACACTACCTACAGTTGGGCCCAGCCAATGTGGAGTCCTCAGTAAGGAGGGCAGTGTGGTAAGGACAACAGGTCAGTGGAACTTTGTACCCTAAGTCATGGTCATGGTGAATCTCGAGTCTTCTCCTTCTCTCCCTCTCCTTCCTCCTCCACCTACCTAGCTCAAGGAAGGCCTCGACTCAATCCCCAGCAGCACGCACATGAGTCTACAAATAGATACATATCAATACTGGGGGGAGAGGGAGGGAGGGAGGGAGGGAGGGAGGGAGGGAGAGAGAGAGAGAGAGAGAGAGAGAGAGAGATTGATTGATTGATTGATTGATTGATTTAAAAGGATGAGGTGAATTCGGTCCTGAAAGTCATCCACATAGGAGCCAAGAACATACTTGCATGCTAGTTGGTCACAAACTTCTAGGGAACTGAAAAACTTTTGTTGCAATCCATGAAGGAAAGCAGTGTGTGCACATATGTGTGTATATTCACTTGTGCTGGCATGTTTTTTTCCTAGAGAGAAATCACCCAGTATGAAGCCCAGTTGTTAAATGGTCTGCCAATATGGGGAAACTGGATACTTTGGGGTCTTGTCTGTCTGTGTCTATGTGTGTGTGTGTATATTCCTGTTACCAGGTTCTGGGATCTGTCTCCTAACAGTACTTTCTAGGTTCTTATCCTGAACAAAAGCGATAGATAAAACAAGCACAAAGGTGGCAAGGCCTTACATTTATAAAAGGTAAGGAAAGAAACATGCCCTGCAGAGTCATTTAAAAGTAGGAAAAGAAATACACTTTGCAGAGAGAGAGGACCACTGGGAAAAGGAACACAGTGGGCGGAAGCTCCCTGACTGCCATCTTTTGTATTCTACACTTTTTGAGATAGCAGTTTCTGCTTGGTTCCACTCACCAGGCCATGGGAACTATTCTGTGCATACGTCCTGAAACTTTGTAATTGACAGGTCATGCCTACTTCCCTAGCCAGCTTGCCATGCTGTAATCTCCTGCCTCACTATTGGGCAAATGATTCTAGGATCTTTGCATTGAGCTACATCTCTATCCCATTTCTTAATTGGGAGGGAGTCTCTCACTAGGCTAGTAGTTTGCTCATGCTGGGCTCAAACTTGCATCCTCTATCTCAGCCTCACAGAATCCTGGGATTAAAACTTCAAGCCACCAGGCCTAGCTGGGTATCTTCAGTTGTATTCAGTTGTTCCTTTTTCCTGCCATTTAGAAAGCCCTTTGCTTTGTCTTCAGAATGTCCTTTAACAGATGTCTCACTACACTTTATGTCACCATACAAAATACCTGGGACTAAGTAATTTATGAGTATAAATTGGCTTTGTGATTCTGGAGCCTGGGAAGTCCAGGAACATGGTACCCCCCCATCTGCTCAGAAGCTGGCGAGGTCTTATTGCTGTGTTATCATGTGGTGGAGGCATCATAGGGCAAGACAAAGCCAGACGCTAGCTTGGGTATCTCCTCTTCCAACAGAGCAGTGATGGTGGATCTGTTAGCACTTTCAGTGATATAGACAACCCCTTGTGGCACACATGCTGCAGTTCACCACCACTGCTGTAGAGCCACTAATGTTACCGTGGGAGCCCTGCTCTCAGGAACTCATCTGATTGTTGTTTGTTGGTTGGTTGGTTGGTTTTGAGTGTTTTGTTCTGAGACATGCTCTTGCTGTATAGTTCAGGCTGACATGAACTCACTGTGTGACCCAGGTCCCTCCTGCCTTCGCCTCCTGAGTGCTAGGATTACACATGTACACCACCAGGCCCAAAGGTTGACTTCCAAATACCTTTGATTAAGAATTCAGGGATCAGGCCGGGAAGATAGAGCAGCAGACTAGGCGCCTGCTTTGTCAAGCGCAGTGATCATGGTTCATCCCCAGTCACGCATACTGTGCTGGCCCCACCACTGGGGCACACTGATCCAGCGACCGAGTCTGGGCGTGGTGGCACATGCCTATAATCCCAGGGCTAGGGAGGCTGAAAACAAGAGGATCACCATGAGTCCAAGCTGTATAGTAAGACCCTGTACCAAATACGTAAATGAAAACATTCAGGGATTAAGCTTACAACACGTGAACTTCTAAGGGACACATTCAAGGCATAGCCACAAGGAAGGCACATTTGTTTCTTAAGAAATTTCCATTCCTAAGATTTTATTTATTTTTATTTTTTGGATGTGGGGATTTAATTCAGGACCTCATGCTTGCCAGGCAGGCACTTAGACCACTGAGCCATCTCCTCGGCTGTTCCCAAGATTTCCTCTGACCTTTCATCATCATCATCATCGTCGTTGTTGTTGTTATTATTATTATTAATTCATTTTAACATGGTCATTTGCATCCCGCCTTTTTTCCCTTTGACACTTTTAATAGGATTTTAGTTTGAGATTTAGTTGTGAGAGCAGCACTAAATAAAGTCGTACCCCCATCCTTTCCATTCTGTTGCTGAAAGGCTGGACATGTGTAGCTTCTCTGGAAGGACATTTGCCATATTCCCCTGAAATTTGTGGAGAAACTGGGTGATACTATACTTACAGCTTGCACAGGATGCTAGACTTCTGAAATTTATTAATATATATTGTAGGAGAACAATATTGAGATAATATTTTTGTTTTGTTTTTGTCTTTTTGAGACAGGGTATTGCTATGAAGTACATATGACCTGAGGTAGTGTGATTCAGCAGAGGCTACTGTTCTTCCTTTGGTCATTCTTTCTATGTTACCAATGTCTTTTGTTTTGTTTTTTTCAGGTCTGACTCAAAAACATCTAGACTCTGAGACTTCAGTGAATTCCATATCTGTTTTGTCTTTGGTCAGTTTGAGTAGAGGCATGAGGTAGGGTGCTATGAGAGTCCCTGTGAGACACTGGGGTATGGAATGAAAGAAAGTTATGTGTATAAATGGGAGCTTCAGAAAAAACACCAGAAAAATCTTCTTGTCTGTCAGAAGGAGGGTGGCAGTACCATAGGGGACCTTTAGGGTTGGTAGACAACACAGAATAAGACTTGGGAAGGAAAGGTCTTTGAAGTTGCCTCTCACTCTGCTTGTATTTTCTTGAGTGTAGTGGGCTGAGACCATGGCAGATCAATGACTTAGGGTCTTTCTGCTCTAAGTAAAAAGACATTCACTGAACTTTCCCTTTTCTTTTCTAGTGACAAGTGATACTAGAAGAAGTGGGGAAAACGACCAGTCGTTCCTACCACACAATGGATGATAGCTGTAGCCAGGGGGAACTTTGAAGTCTGTCATTTGGGGCAGAAAATGGAGGTAACTAGCAGTGGGGAGAGAAGGTGGTCCCTCTACTTGCTGGGGTATAGACATGTTACTGACTGTTTTGGGGTTTTTTGTTTGTTTGCTTATTTTTGTTTTTGTTTTTTAAGACCTGGCCTTCTCTTTTTAATACCAATTTGAAATTGGGTTATAATTTTTGTAAGATTGACTTCAATTTCTTATCAGATTTGGGGCTTCCATTAAAATCATATTGTAACAGTGGAATTAAGTAAAACCTATTTTTAGGCCTAGGATCCTCAAGTAGTAAAAGATGAGTATATAGGCTGATGTTGACCACATGGTGGCTCTCAGGGCCCCCTTCTTGTTGCCTTACGTTCCTCACATCCACTCAGAAGAGTAGGAACAGGGGCTGGGCACAGTGGTGCACACCTATAGTCCTAGCACTCTAGTAGGCTGAGGCCAGAGAATCCCAAGCTCGAGTTCAGCCTAGATGATGTAGGTAGACCTTGTCTCAAAATATGTATGTTTTTCATTTGTGAAACTTTTGTTTCATTTTATTTTGTGTCTGTCTGTCTGTCTGTCTGTCTGTCTGTCTGTCTGTCTGTCTGTCTTTTTGAGAAAGGGTCTCCCTATGCAGCTCAGGCTTGTCTTGAGCTCACTTTGTAGCCCAGGCTGGTCTTGAACTTGCAAGGATCCTACTGCCTTAGTGTCCCAAGTTCTGGGATTTTATACATGCACCACCACACCTGGCTTTTGCTTCATTTTATGAGTTGTCTTGTTTGTTTGGTTTGGTTTTTTGAGACAAGATTTGAGACAAGTTGTCTTGTTTGTTTGGTTTGGTTTTTTGAGGTTCAGATTATTCTTGAACTCACTGGGTAGCTCAGGCTGGCCTTGAACTCACAGCACTGTCTCAAAATAATAATGAAATGGGCCTTTAGTGCAAAGGCCCTCCTGAATTCAACACCTAGTAGTAGGGGGGGAAAAGATTAGGCAAAGTGAAGACCCATACACTCCAGAAAGTAGTAAGCCTAGGGTTAATTTTAGTGTGCCAAACCCTCATTCGATGAAAGCTGAAATTGCTGTGGGCACCATCATGAGTGTAGGCTTGAACTAGGAGTGTGTTGGGCATTTTTGATCTAACACATACTTACATTAACTATGGCCAGCAGTACCTAGCTATGACGGAAACCTGAACTTCTCCATGGTCACACTAGTAATTTCTGGTCTTCAGTTCTACGGCAGAGGCTCCTTAGAAGTGTAAACCCTTGTCCCAATGACGTCAAGTTCGCCCGTTGGCTTGGAAGGCTCAGACCTGTCTTCCATCAGCACCATGATGTCAGCAGTAATGAACGTAGGGAACGTGGCAGAGAATGGTGGGAGCCCACAAGGGATCAAGTCCCCTTCAAAGCCTCCAGGACCAAATCGGATTGGCAGAAGGAACCAGGTAAGTGTGTGTGCACTGGATGGTAGCATCTAGCATATTTGGCCTATGAGAACGTGGAGAAAGTTGCTCAGCTCCCATAAAGAGAGCTTCCCATACACACGTACCCAGAGGATGTGATCTTACTTCAGGAGCAGATTTTTCATAGCTTAGGTCAGTTTCCCTTTGTGGGGGAAGTTTTCTTTGTCATCATATCAGTATAGGTGAGACTGCCCTTGCACTTTGACCCATGATTTGACTTAAGCACAAGCCTCAGTCAAATGATGGTCAAGACAGTGAATTTGACTATACTTCCACTGTGATGTGATTTCTTTCTTTATTGGACTTTTAAAACTCAGCTTTTAAAAAACAATTAATTTTCATGTCTTCGGATTAGATAGTAAGACCTGTTTGTGCAAGGTTGCTATTGAGCGTTCCATTTTTGGAAACAATATGACTGTAGAGAATTCCACTTTAGTTCTCTTGAATTTTCAGTGGACACAGGAGCAAGAGAAGTGGAGGAAAGTAAGCAGGGGGACAAGAATTGGGAGGAAAGAGTGCTATTGTAAAAGGCCATGTCTCCTCCAGTGGGAAGTAAGATGAGTCTTGTAATTAGTGGATCAATGGGACACTTTGAAGAAGTTGTTTTGTGGTAGCAACTTGTTGTCCCATGTTGTAGAAGAAGGAGGGCGGCAGGAGGCATAGCACTCCAACCTCTTCTCTGGAGTTATCCAGTATAAGCTGACAAATGCATGACTAATTTCGTTGAATTTCTGGAGAAAAAATGATCTTCTAGGAACCACAGGTGGACAAGAAAGCAAATTTGTTGAACCTTTGTGAACTGCATGATGAGCTGCTTTTTTCCCTTTCTTCTGTTTTTGGAGACAGTCTTGCTAAGTTGCCTAGACTGGGCTCAGGCTTGCAATCCTCCTGCCTCAAGCTCCCAGAGTGCTGAGGTTCAGGTGTGCACCACAGTGCCTGGTTTTTCACTGATAGTCTTTCTGTGACTGTCTTCATACAAAATCTTCTGAGCACATCTAGAAATTCGCAGAAGCAGAGCTTCAGCCAAGGCTTTTGGATAGAATCTGCTCTCTGGGAACACATTCCTAGTCCCACCAGTAGTGTGGGAACCTGTGCATTTCTCCACAGCTTACTCAAGACAGGATTCAGCAAATAGTGATGTTTTAGGGTTGGAGCATTGATTGTTTTCTCTCTTTTTTCCCTTGCTTCCGTGTGCCTCTCTTCCTATGGGTGCCTGAGAAAACACTCAGCCTGTATGACTGTGGCCTGAGTCGAGAAGGAGCACTAGCTCCGGGAAGAAAAGGTTTATTTCTGCTCTCCTGTGCCTGTTCCCCCATCTTTCCATGTGTCCGTCCGTCCGTCCATCCATCCATCCATCCATCCATCCATCCATCCATCCATCCATCTCCATCATCACTCAGCCATGTAACAATACAGACCCAGCTCATCCTCCCAGCCAGCTACTGTGCCAGGTGCCGACCATATAGCAAAAAAAGACAGACAAGGTCACTGTTGTCATTTTTCCCATGCCCTACCAGGAGTGAGCAGAGTGAAGGCAAGAGCTTTTTCTTAAATAGCACAGTGTTGCCCCAGCACGGGTCAAGCTGGCCTTAGCCCATGCTCTGGGTCCTTGTCACTGTTCAGAGATGGGAGGGGTGGTCCGTGGCCTCCCTCCATTCTGATTGGCTATAGTACTCCACATGTTCCCCATCGCACACCTGAAACGACTAGACATGCATCACTAACTGGGCAACAGCAGGGGTTTCTTTTCTTTCCTTTGGTTTTTTATGTCCCCACAGGGGATAGTCTCAGTACCTCCTTTGCTGAGTGCAGAGGTAAATGTGTAGGTGCAGCTGGGCCATGCCTCATCCTCCTCCTTATTCCCTGAGCTTTCTGGTGGCCTGGCTATGATTTTGAAAGGAAAGTCTGGGCCTGAGAGAGCCAGTTAAGTGCAGTACCTGATTTAAGAAGCCAGCTGCAAGGGCACCCTGTGCAGGGAGAAGGGCACATCTTCCTCACCTATGAGGGTGACTGGAGGGCCAAGGGAGGGAGGCTGCATAGCGAAGGCCCCTACACCAGAGTACAGAGCTTCAGGACAGATTAGCCACGGCCTGACACCAACAAGGGCGCCAGATTGTTTCATTATGGAATGGTTAGTTATCACATTAGCTGCTAATTTTATCTTTCGGCTCTGAAAGTATGCTGCTCATACCGGCACGGCTGCAATAGTTGTCTCAGCATTCTATAGTGGGCCTTTCACAGCACCACAGTGCTCTTTTCTAAGGGGGTTGCTTTCAGTGGTTAAAAAGTCTGAGTCCCACAGACCTCACTCTCCCAGACCACCTTGGATTTTTGTGGCCCTGTACCATGGTCTGCATAGCACCACTGCCAGCTTCAGGCCTGGTGGTGGTTAATGATCAGCCCTAGCGTCAACATCAGTCTGCCTCTGAGCCTCCGCACAGTAGATATGTTTGCCTCAAGGTGAATGCAGGTTGATTTCTGAAAAAGTATTGTCTGCTCAGGAGACTGGCCCCTTTTCCTGAAGTGAGGTCTCACTGTGTTGCCAGAATGGTACCAAACTCCTTGAGTTCAAACACTCCTCTTGCCTCAGCCTCCTGAGCAGCTGGTACTATAGGCCTAAGCCATTGTGCCAACTGAGGTTTGGTTTTTAATGTGTTTTTACATAATATTAGTCATTCTTTTAAGTTTTTTTTTAAATCTGTAGTACTACTACTAATCTAATAGTTTAACAGAAATGCCCCAGAAATGAAGTTGGCTTTTGGTGGTGTTTTTCCTGGGAGGGGTGGTCCGTGGCCTCCCTCCATTCTGATTGGCTATAGTACTCTACATGTTCCCCATCGCACACCTGAAATGACTAGACATGCATCGCTAACTGGGCAACAGCAGGGGTTTCTTTCTTTTCCTTTGGTTTTTTATGTCCCTAGGGTATTGAACTTCCTTAGAACTTCAGAGTGAGAAAATATGTGACTGGCATATCCAATTCTCAGACTGATAGCCACAGAGGAGGGAAGGGTCACTGCCCTTAAAAGGAGACCTGCCAGTCTACAGACCAGTGAGAGAGGCAACTACAAACTGGTATCACTGTGCATTTGCTTCACTACCTGATTTATGGTCCCATTTGTTTTTATAGTCTTTAAGATGGCCTTTTATTTTCATCATCTCTCATGAACAACCACAAAGGCGTTTCCTTTCTGTGCCATGGGGCTCATTCCTCTTCAGTCAGGCTTCATGTAGCACCATAGTTTAGGGCTGGGCTGTCATGCGGCTGGCCTGAGTTTTGGTTTTCTGCCTACTTCCTAATTCTCCAGTTGGGAGAAGCTACTCACCCTCGGTACTCTGGTTTCCTCGTCCAGTAGTAATAGTGGCTCTGTTATGGAGGGAGCTCCTGTGTTTGCACATTCAGAGTGTAGAACATAGTATGTGCTCAATAATGGGTGTTACTTGCAGCGAACTGAAGCTTACACAAAGGAGTGCAGACAAAAGGAGGTCTATTGAAAAGATGTTTAAGGATAGGAAACAATACACATCATTTGGGGGCAGCCACAGCATCTCAGCCCCTAGAGTTCCTGACCACCTTAGGCTCCCTGGCTTCCTGCTGCAGTTAGCACCAGCATAACTCCCAGCTGCTTTCTCACATCCTGGAGATGCCCCAGTGGTAGTGCTAATGGTCACCTACCTTAGTAACTTCGTTGTTCAGAAACCTGGAAAACCTAGAGAGCTTGAGAGACAGGTCCAATAATTCTGACCCATGAGTTGAGAGTTTGTGTCACATGGCTGATGTGGCACAAGTCTGCAATCCTGGTCCTGGGGAGGCTGAGCCAGGGGGATCAAGAGTTTGAGGCCAGGTTGAGCTATAGACTGAGACCTTGTCTCACAGATGTCAGACAGGAAGGAGGGAAAGGGAAGGAAGTGGAGAGATGAAGTGGGGGGGAGATTGTATTTCCCAGAACTTCTCAGATAATCCTGCTGATCTTTGGAAACTCACTGATGGCAATCTCTGAACTCCAAATTCCTGGGGGAGGAGTCAGACCTGGACTCAGTTAGTTTTGGGAACAGAGATGGGACCCGTGGTGCCTAGGGACTGTGCAGATAAAGACAGGGGTGTCCTAGCAGCTCTGTGAGTTATTTTGAGAGAAGAGCTATAACAAAGGATTAGTGAAGGACATTGGTCTTTTCTTGAAAAGGTTAAATATTGGGTTGTGGATGTAGCTCAGAGGCAAAGTCCTAAGTTCAATTCCTGATAAAACACCCCCCAAAACACACGCATTAAAAAGGGATAAAATATTGCTTGAAGGAAGCTTATTCTATATGTTTTGAGAGAACATGAAAGGAGCCACTGCACTAAGTAGGGACCTGGTGATTTGGTGCCTTGTGCGGAAGCTGTAGCCAGGGCATCGCTCCTGTCAGAGCTGTTCTTGTTGTGTGTTTATCAGCCATGGGAAGCAGACGTTGGCATTGGCAGCGGAGCCAGACTAGGCCCAGAAGACACGCAGCAGGATACCAAGGAGCTCCTGCCAGGGGGAGTCTGGGCTTTTCTTCTGAGACCTGTGTTACCCCTAGAGTGTTTCTGGGGACCTTGATACAGGCTTGGAGACACACAGATTCTGTACATAGCAGAGTGAGCAGGGAATTGAGGCTTCTGTTTTCACCACCGATGATGAGGAAGTGGTCTGCATAATAAAAATGCTCCTGTTTATTGAGCACTTACTTTGTCTTTATTAAGCATGTCCACTGTAGCAGGCCCTGCTGCGCTGCTTTACACACATTCCTTACTCTGTATCGCAGCACAATGTATCTGTACTGTGCTGTGTGTACTGCACACAAGGGAACTGAGTGCCGATGGAAGTGACCACCCAAGCAGGTACCTGGGCAGTCTCGGGCCGGGTGCTTCCAGCTGCTTGGTGTCAGCCTTTCAGATATAGGCTTACTACAGAAATAGAAGGCACTAGTCCACTGCAATTTAAAATCCATCCTCCATTTTAATCTCTTTTTAGGAAATGAAAGAAGAGAAGTCTTCCTACAACTGCCCGCTGTGTGAGAAGATTTGCGCCACCCAGCACCAGTTAACTATGCACATCCGTCAGGTTGGCTGTGGCTTTTGCAGTTCTGTCTTAAATTATTCTTCATTCTTAGAGGAAACGGTCTTGGATTCTAACAGATGAATTGTGGCCTGTGCTTACTTTTGACTTAATATTTGTAGTCTTGGAGGGTAGTTACAAAATAATTTTCATGTGTTCATGGTACTGTGCCGTGGCAGAGCCTGGATTAACACAGAAGTCTGATTCCATCAGATGTGACTTGCCAATATGAATTGGATCCCCTACAACATGAGCCTGTAAATTTTGATCCTTGGTCTTTATATAGGTATAAGTTTCCACTATACAATGTGGAATTGACTCTATTTCAGATGGTTTTTCCTTTATTAGATTTGTTGATTTACCCTTCTCCCTCTGCTACTATAGCTAACTTATGAGACTGCTGGTGGATTTAGAGCATGAAGGAGTGATGGTCTGCTAAAGTCCTAACATGACACTGAGTAATAACATCAAGTCCCTAACTTGGGTTGGCCTGGAAATGTCCCTTAGCAAATACCGGAAGCCCGAGCTCCCCTCAGTGCAGCTTTCAGTTCTCCTTCTCTGATAGCAGCCTGAGTCAGCAAGTTGAAACAGGGTTAGGGACTTTCGGTGCAAATCCTAATTCACATACTTGCTGTGTGGTTCGGACTCCGACTGCCACCAGAGTTAATACAGTTAATTTCTATATGTTTCTAAGAAAGACCTACCAAAACCCCACCTGTCTCTGATCCGGGAAGTAAAACCATTTTTCAAAACTAGAACATGGACATGGAAGAAGGTCACACAATACAGATACTTGCCTATGTTCCTGACCATGAGAGTCAGCTTCCATTGAAGTGCCCACATCTCTGACACAGTCCTCTTTACAGAGGATAGGTTCGTTGTGGCCCACAGTTTGAAAGGCTTCAGGCTGCTGTGGGTTGGAGGTGAGCAGGACATTTTGGGGAAGGACATGGTGGGGCAGAGCTGTTCACTTCATGGCAGACAACAAGGAGAGAGAGAAAAGCTGAAAGCAAGGGACAAAGTAATGTCCTCCAGGTCATGGCTTCACCTAGCCCTACCTCCTCATCTGTGTCACTTCCTGATCATCAAATTTTCATCTCATCCATGGAATAATCCACAGAGAATTTAGAGCCTTTGTGATCCCATCATCCTCTGAAGACACATAGGACTTTGGTGGGACCTTTTAGATCTAAATTATAACACTGATATAATTTGGTTCTTTGGAAAGATACTTAATGTGAAACAAACAAAAAAACTAGCCA